TGGATATTGAGGATCTTGTTAGTTTGGGGTTGAAGGGTAGATGTTGTTTTTGGTTGAATAAGGGAAATGCTGTATTTGTAATTCGAATTCTATGGTGATTTAGAAAATTTTTTTTGATGATTTCTGGGTCAGTGAAGTGTTTTTTTTTTGTTTTTTTTTTCCAGATTTTTTGATTTGTTTGAGTTTTTTCATGTTGGGTTATTTTTGAAAGAATTGGGTGTTATTCAGATTTTCTGATTAATTTTAGTATTTTCATTGTTGGGTGATTTTGAAAATTTTTCATTTTTGGATCACTGAATTGATTCAATTTTTTCGATTAATTTTAGTTTTTTCATCATTGGGTGATTTTGAAAAAAATTCATTTTTGGATCAGTGAATTGATTCAATTTTTTCGATTAATTTTAGTTTTTTTTATCTATGGGTGATTTTGAAAATTTTCATTTTTGGATCAGTGAATTGATTCAATTTTTTCGATTTATTTTTGTTTTTTCATCATTGGGTGATTTTGAAATTTTCATTTTTGGATCAGTGAATAATTGAGTGTTCTTCAAAATTTTCGATTAAATTTAGTTTTTTCATCATTGGGTGATTTTGAAAATTTTCATTTCTGGGTCAGTGTATTGGGTGTTTTTTTCTCGGAAACAGCCTTTATATCTGTACGAATTAGTGGTAACGTTTGTGCACACTCAACCCTCCCTAGACCCCATTTAGTGGTATCTTATCGGATATGATGATGATGTGGTTGCTGTTGTTGAAAGAGGGTGTTTTTGATCTTCTTAAAGTTTTTGTTTTTTTGGATTTATTGATTGGTATGAATATTCTCGGATTTCCAGTTTATTTGGGACTGAGGCGTAGTCGTTGTTGGATTAATTTCAGGTTTAACTATGGCGGACGAGAATGCTGCCAATGGAGATGTTTTTGATGATGCTGTGGAGATCGAAGGAGAGGAAGATTCGGATGCTGCATTGAAAACTGCTCCGCTGACACACAAGATAGCGGCGTTAGAGCAAGAGAATAATCAACTTTTTCGCGAGAATCAAGTGATCAAAGAGAAGATGGAGAAATCTAAGCACTCGATTGAGGAAATCCAGAACGAAAAAGTGGAGTTACAGAAGAAGGCGAAGAAGTTTGAGTCGGACAATAATGCTCTAGGACCGGTAGCTGGCCGAGCAGCAGAGCTCGAGGGTGAACAGTCTCGGCTGCAGCATGATCTCATAACTTCATTGAACGATCTGGAAGAATCGAATTCTGAGCTATCGAAACTGAAGTTGGATCTAGAAGGATTAAAGAGTAGTGATAATGAGAAGAGGGTGAAATTGGAAACCGTTGAGACTGAAAGGAACTTGTTATTGGTGAAACTTAACAAGTTGGAAGTGAGTGAAAAAGATCATCGAGCTGAAGGAGAAGTAAAGGAGAAAGAAATAAGGGGCTTGAAGAATCAACTCGAGGATTTAAAAGCAACTGTGAAGAAGAACGAGGCGTGGAGAAGGGAGAAGGAGGCACTTCATTCGGTGAAAAACGAGTTAGAGAAAAGGGTAATAGAAATGATGAGTAAAGTGACTGAGTTGGAGAAAAAGTTGGAGGAGAAGGAAACGTTGATTACTGAAAGAGGCGTCGACAACAATGTTAATGGCGTTTCAGCTGAGGATAAAGTTAAAGCTCCCGGTGGCAATGTAGACTTACTAATGGCGGCTGCATCTTCAGTTGCTGCAGTTGCTCTGGTAGGTATTTTGTGCTTTCTTCGATTTGCAAGAAAATCATAAACTCAGAGCTTGTTGTTTATCTTGACTTGCTAGTTCCATGAACCATAGGAGTTTTTAGCAACCATTTTTTTCGCCTTCTAAACAAGTTTGTTAGTGTAATCACTTCAAAGAAAGCTTTTTGTATTGCAGTGAAGCACTGAATTCATATGTAGTACTGAATTGTCTCGAATAATGGAGTTCGTATATGACTCTCTCTCAATTCTCGTTAGCTCGATTTCTCTAATTTCCTATATCCTTTCGTATATAACTGTGATGGCGATGATCTCCGTTTTGCACTCTGATTCGTGTATGTTCGTTGATTGTGAGCTGAGGTTGCTCGTCGTTGTGATCGAGTGGATCAAGTTGTTCTTAGCTGATGTTAATCCGGTAGAGATTAGCGATTAAATCGTAGTTTCCATTTTTCAGTTACTCTGTTTTCCATGATTCTGTTATTAGTGTTTTGAACTGTTACACTGAAATCAACTGAAGCATTGCTGAATTGAGTTGAGACTATCAAAGTTCATTTACAATTGGTATCAGAGTCAGGTTAACCTAAAGCCATCGAAGCAATGGCTTTACGCTCCAAAATATAAGGCCTAAGAATTAATCAATAGCAATACATATAAATATAAAAAAAAATATTCACGTGGAATGTTATGTGACAATAAACAATCTCTAAAAGTATGTTTTTCAAATTAATAAGTGATAGCTTAGGTATGAAACTAACACTCTCAATATTTTAGGTATGAAACTGAAAAAAAAAAGAAATAATTTAGATATGTTTTTGACACTTTATTCATATAATTATAATTAAAACTTGTAGCGATTTGAATATGCAGTTACATTATACTTCTTAATTTCATATCAGTTATTTCTAAATTCAAGAATTATTGTATATTTAAATATTTGCTATACTAGTTAAAATTATGTTGTAGGCATTAAATGTGTCGTTACTTTGGTACTTGTTAATTTATCTAAATCACTTTAATTTGAATCAAATCGTATCAAATTGATTAGATTTATTTTTGTAATTAAATATAATACCAAATATATGCAAGTAAAACTGATACTCTAAACTCAATCAGGTGAAGTCTTTTTTATTAAAAAATTATTCCTTTTGCTTATAGAATATTTTGATAGTTTGTTTAACGATTGATTCAATTAATAAAAAGTTTAAAAATTTAATAAAATGTATCTAAGATATAAACATTTGCAGCGTTATATATCGTTTAATAATTTATATATCTTTATTCGTGTCTTACGAATTATTACAAGAAATATATATTGACAATTGAAAATAATAATAATTTCTTGTTAAGTATTTTTTTTAAAAAAAGCATAAGATCTCTTCTTTAAAAATTTGAATTTAGGCCTCTTACATTTTAATGTGTATATTAGTTCAAGAATTCTTGCTTAACCATAGCGATAATTAAAACATTTTATTACACATCGCACGATATATCATTGCTTGCTAAATTATGTTTGCTAAATTGTTGACTTAATTTTGTTCCTTACTTTCCTTTCAAATATTTTGATTACTTCTTGTCATTCATTTTTATCGAGTTGAGGACGTATATGAAACAATATCTTTATCTTTAGCAAGGGTTGAAGTCTACGAACATTTATTGTTTTTAGATCTTATTTTGTGAGATAAGACTGAGTATGTTATTTTTTGTTGCCTCTCACATTCAACTTCTCATTTTTTAAATTCGGAGGTTTTAGCTTAAGGTCCTCTTTTGGGAAGGTTATTTTTATCTTACTACAAGCGGTACATGAATATTCATCATGAATTGACACAAAATGACATGAAGATGGAGATTCTGTATGGAGATTTCGATTTGTTTGGAATCGATGCATAGTTATTATTGTTATTGGCGTATTACTTCCCCACTATAGTGTTTACTATTGCCCGAAAAAACTATAGTTAACGCAGATCGACCGTTCGCTTTTAAGGATTCTACAAAATCCATAGACTTAGGCTTAAACCCTTTATTTATGCATCCACTTAATATGTGTAAATAATCCATCCCAAACACAATTGTTGTCTTGTCATTCAAAAAATGCATAAATTTAAAATTTTAGATTTGATTCGAAACATATAATAGTCCCTTCAAGATCAAAATTTACATGTGGTATTTATAACTCTAATATAACAATAATATTTTTTTAAATAGAGCCAAAAATAATCAATAAATATTATTTCTACTTAATTGAGTCCAGACAAACTAGTATCACGGACTGTAATTTTTTTTATTGATTCATACGATATTTGACAACTTATTCATTATTATTTTAAAATTTATTAACAAAGTAACGAAACATAACACTAGACCGGATATTACATGTTATGGATGTTGCTCAAAGTTGTTAGCTAGCCATGCAAATTTTGGGCTAAGCAATAAATAAAAGAGCTACTTCTTTTTAGTCTTGTGAAATCAAGCAATTAATTGCCACTGACATCCTTAGCCTTTGCTTGAATATCAAGGCAAAGGTTTCATCATTAAATATCGATTTTTTTCGTTTTAATTTGCTTATCTTAATCTAATTAAATATAAATTTAAGAAAGTAAATTTTCTTTAAAATAATCTTGTGAAGTTAAAGTTATATGTGATGTATTTAAGTGTCTTTTTGTAATCTTAAACAAATAAATAGTGAAATTATAAAATGGGGTTGAGAGAATTTCGAGTGAATGTGGTGAAATGTATAAAGCAAAAAGTAAACTAAAATGAGAAAAGATTTGTTATAGAGTACACATATACAATATATAGTTATTAAAAGCGATATTAACATCGAGAAATAAAAGCTACGAGAGCCAGGAGATATATATATATACAGTATAATTATTAACTTTAGAAAAAATCATACGTACTCGTATAAATATGAAAAAAAGATCATATATTTTGTGCATTCGGAAATAATACAAAAGAAGGCTTATCGCATTGATCCAACGCGTTCTATGTTAACAAATGAAGAGGTACAATATAAGCAAGTAAGGTGGTCTCAAGAAAGTTAAATTTTGATCACAATAAGTTATGTAACTTTCAAACCAGTAATAATCGTGTTCTAATTTATGTCTTTGCTTCAGAAATGATTTTTCATGTGTTTGAACGAAGCGACTCTTAGAACAAAGTTTGAAATCATAAAATTGTGATAAAACTATGATGTTTATTATCAAATTTTGAATTCGAAACCCCGATGGTTAATATAATGTTTGATTAAAAAGAAAATAAACATTAGTGGGAACAATTTCTGACTACTTTTGAAAATTACGAGCTCTGTTGCTGCTGCTGCTGTGCTGTGCTGTGTGTAGCCGTTTCGAAGTTATTCCCTATGCATTTTGGCCCCCTTCATCTCTTTTCTTCCTCGTATTTCGTGCACCTAGGGAAAACCCCACTTCTTAAACCCTCACAAAAATCTTCAAAACAAAGAAATAGTCTTCACTGTTTGAAAACTCAGTGTCTTTAATGGTAGTACAAGACAAATAAAGAAGAAAGAACAAAGCTTTTACCTTTTTTTTTCTTTTCAAGAAGAGAGAGAGAGTGTGTGTTAAAATCAGTTTGACTGATTAGGGTTTGTTTGGACCAACCTTCAAGTTCTTGACTATGGCTGTGATGTTACTACATTTTTCTGGCAGGTGGTTTTTAACTCAAGAAAGGTATGGCATTGAGCACCCTTTTTCTCATTTTGTAGTAATTTGTGTTAGTTTCTTTCAGTTTTTTGTGCCTGTTGTTTGTTGAGCTTCTGAAAATGGATAGGAACTGGAAAAAAATCATTTCTTGATGTTGTATGGACTTGTTGTGTAACCCCTTTTATTCTTTTGGTGTGTTGTTTTGTTTATTTTGTCAAATGGGAAGTTTGAGTAGGTTCTGTTGGTACTTTGTTGATTACCAGGCTCTGTATATTCTTGTATCTGCTGTATATACTTGAAGCTATGCTCTTGTTGGCTGAAAGATTGAATCTTTTTAACATTTTATTGCTCAGAGCTGTCATTTACATGATGAATAGAACTCCTAGTAGATATATTAGTTTGCTGATATTGTTGTGTTGTTGCTCGGACTCTTTGAAAATGTCAATGGGTGTATTTTGGATTCTCCAAAAGTAGTGTATTTTTTTTGGAGATTCTTACATGGGTGCGGCATCGGTAGTGAAGAGTCTGCGCAACTTGGGTTACTTCTTTCTGTCCTGTTGTGTTCATTTTGTCAGTTTCATCAAGTTCTATTACTGAAGGGGAATTTAAGGAGCTTCTGTTCTAGCGTTTAACATCTGTTTTCGTTTATGTTGTAGCGCTTTTTCCAATTAGAGCTGTCTATTTATCCCTGTATCTGCTGTATATACTTGAACCCACTCTCTTGTAGGCTGAAAGATTGAATTTCTTTTACAGCGTTTAACATTTGTTTTCGTTCATGTTGTAGCACTTTTTTCAATTAGAGCTGTCTATTTATCCCTGTATCTGCTGTATATACTTGAACCCACTCTCTTGTAGGCTGAAAGATTGAATTTCTTTTACGTATTTTTGCTCAGAGCTGCCGTTTATTAGTGAATGGAACTCTTAAATAGATGTATAAGCTGAATGATTTGAAGGTGTAACTTTGATCAGTATAAAAGCTGGATGATTTGAAGGTGTACTTTTGATTAGGATATGAGCTGAATGATTTAAAGGTCTTCTTTGTGGACCGAACCCATCATTTCACAATTTTGTATCAACTTATTGTTTACCCTGTATATACTTGAATGTGCATATTTTGCTCAAAGCAGCACCTTATGTACTGAATGGCACTCTTATATAATCTGACTGATGTAAAGCTCATTTCTTATTTTTTATCAACTTATCGTGTAACCCTTTTTTCTTTTGAGGTGTTGTTTTGTTCTTTCTTAGTTCTAACCTGGTGAGCTTATGTTAGTTCTGGCATTTTATTTTTCTGACATGTTATGGCACTTCTCCAATTAGAATTCTCTATTTGTCCCGGTATCTGCTGTATGTACTTCAAGTTACTCTCGTGTGCAAAAGATTGAAGTTCTTTACATAATTTGCGCAGAAAAGCCACTTATGTAATGACTGGAACTCTTGATAAATATATAAGCTGAATGATGTTAAAAGATAATGATTCTGAGGTAGGATATCTTCTTTCCCGACCCCATCCCTTCCCAGAGGAACCAAGAGATCTGTTATAAAATTGAGCAACTTTGGAGCAGTAAGATCATAATAGGAGGAAAGTTGATATCTTTACCAAAAGTTGGAAGAATTTTCGCGTTTTACTTATTTGGATATTCACTCATTAACGAATTCAAAGAAGGTTCTTACAGCTTTTACACCAAGGTATTGGGTTCATTCAAAGATCTTGATTATACTACTACTCTCAATTTCACTTGAAGATATAAGAGTGCTCGATGATATTAATTACTACAGTAGAGATCATGTTTGAGGTTAAAAGTTTCTCTTGCTGAGGTCGAAGTTCTTCTGATGCATATGACCTTCAGCTGCAAAGGACTTCCAATTTTCTTTATCTGCAAGTCTAATGACATACTGGTAGTTGGAGGGATAGACAGTTGAATAATCTAGTATTCATAATCTTCCAGATTTTTCTGGGAAATGGAAACAAGAGTTGAAAGGCAAGACTCGAGAGATGAGGCGCAACATAGCATTCCTTTGCTCTTAGTAGGAAGAAGTTGGATAATCTGTAAAAGGCTCCGAGTTACTAGAGGTTTTCGATAGAACATAAATGCCAAAGGCAGAAACCTCATATTAGGCATAGAGTTGGAGAAAGGGTGTTTGGATTTGTTGAGACTTGTTACTTTCTTGATTTTTTCTTATTGAAGACAAAGCGTTAATCCGTTTTCAACTGTTTAATTGCTATGGCTATGTGACCCCATGCTGTGTTCCTTTTGTCGATTCACAACTGTTTCTTGACTTATATATCGCAGGTTAGATAGAGAAGTAGGAGTAGAGCTTGCTTCAGAAGTGTCGACGTGTTCAACTGTTAAACCAGGTTGAATCTCTTCTGTTCCTTGTGTTTTTCCTGGAACATGTGAACTTTTACAAGTACATTGTTCCTCCTTAAGTACGGAATGAAGCCATCGGTCCGCGAAGCATATCAAGCTTTGTATCATATTTTGACAAATACTAGCAATTATTCATAGTGGATGAAGTAATATTTTTTCTTGCATATATAAGCTACTCAGGTTTATATTTTCTGAGTTTTGACCAATCTGTTACCATTCAATGAAAATCTAATGCTCTCAATTTAGCTTGGATGTCTATGGTTATTTTTAGGGATTATTCTTTTGCTTTCACTCTGACATACTATGTTGCTCGGACTCTTCAACGTTGTATCCATTTCGGATCTTCCAATAACCACACAATCAGTGACATTTTTGAACAGTCCGAACGAGCAACATAGCTGACATGAATACATTATACTTACTATCTGTTACCATTTAAACTTCAATGAAATTAGATGTCTATGGTTATTATTAGGGATTATTCTTTTGTTTTCACTCTGACATACTATGTTGCTCGGACAACTCAAAAATGTTGTATCCTTTTCGAATCTTCCAATTACCACACAATCACTGACATTTTTGAATAGTCCGAACGAGCAACATAGCTGACATGATACATTATACTTTTAGCTTTGACATGCTATGTTGGTCGGGCTCTTCAAAGATGCGGCTACGTGTATATTGAAATTGCACTACTTTTTAGAGGGTGGTGAAATTTTTGAAGAGTTCGAACAAAGGAAAACTATGCTGATAAACAAACATATACTAGTTAATTAGTCAACATAGATATCGTTTGAATCAATTATGACTTGGAGCTTAATTTTATTTGTAGTTACGTCGCCTCTCATATGTAGAAATATAATTAGCCTCTCTGCCCTCTCGCCTGCCCCTCTCTCTCAATTTTGCTCGTCGGATATACCAGTACATGTGTATATGGTATACAGTTGCATATATACGATTGTCTCATAGATATACATATACAATTTGTTTCTTTATACTCTCTCGCTTATGTCTCTCTTTCCATTAACATGTTGCAACAAATTGTAATTAGTAAACTGTAACTATGAAACATAATTAACCTCAAATTATATATAATTAAAGTTTAGACATTTCTATTTAAAGTTATTTATAACTATTTTTGTTTTTTGAAATTTAACTTTATCGAATTTAATTTTAGATATCATATATTTTTAAATTTAAATTAAAGTATATGTGCAAATAATTTCCTCATATTAATGATAGTCTCATCTCTATACATTTATTACAACTCGAATTGAGTACAGCTCTATAGTAGCCTATGTTTAGAGTTAATACTAAATGGCAAAAATTTAAAAAGTTTATGATATTTTTTTTATTTTGAAAATATATTAATATTTTTTTATTTTAATTAAAAGATAGTAAAGATAAAATGATAAAAATTTCAAAAAAGGTAAAATAACATAGTGTAAAATAGTTATTTTATCATTTTAATCAAATTCTAGCTAAATTCGGGCCAAAAGGATTTTTTTCTTAACTTAAATTAGAGAAGGATTTAAGACGAGTTTTGTAATTTTAAATGGATTTATTTTATTTTATTTTTGAACTACGTAGATATATGTTTTAAAGAAGAGTCTTGTTGTAATTGATAAAATTACGATGAGATCATAAGGTTATGAATTCGATATGAGAAGTATAAGTTTTATACCTTTTCTTTTATAGAGATAAATAATGTATATATTATATAACTAGATTTTCTCAACACACTAGCTGAGCTAATCGTCTTAATTTTTTTCTGATTGATTTAGATTTTCACCATTCTTCTCAAAATTAAAGCCCAATGATCAAAAATCACTAACAACCATTTAAAAAAATAAATTAAAATGTAAATATTCAAACTTTAAAGTTTATGAATTTTTACGGACTTTTCCAAATTATTCAAAGTGAATACAATAATAATAACATAACTTAATTTACGATTAAATATTTAGTGAATAGGCAAAATCAAAATAACAACTATTTAATTTACGTAAATTTATAATCAACACTATAGCTCCGCCCCTGACTAGAAGTAACTTTGACATAGAAAGAGACAAAAATAAAAATAAAAATAAAAATAAAAATACAATTAACTTTGCTTTATCATTTACTACACAAAAATTGAATGTGTATTTATTCACCTACTCTCTCTGATAAGGCACAAAGTCTCATATTACTCATGTCAGCTCAAAACTAGTCTTACTCATCCAATTTTACTCCAAGTGTACACTCTCATATACACTCGTTAATTTTTACTTGTCACAGAAATAATTTCAACAATTTAAATTTAAATAATAAAATTATACGAAAAATACCACTTATAACTTGCAAGTCTAATATTAAAATAATATAATAATACATCTTAAAATACTGATCAAAAAGTCTACATAGAATTTGACTTTCAAAAAGTAAAATATAACAAATAAAAATGAACAAAGTCGTATTGATCATGCTTATCCTTTTTTTTTTCTTCCATCTCTTTTATAAAGAGAAAAAAGAAAAAGAAAATAAAAGGAACTTGTAGAGAGTGCCACTACACTCTTGACATTCTCTAAAAAATATATATATATATATATATATATATATATATATATAATTAGACCTTTCTATAAGAATTGTACTTTATAGTAATATTTTATTATAATGATAAACAAACAATGTTAGTATAAAGATGTTTGATTCATATATATATATATATAAAGTTTTTCGTATCACAAGAATATAGCGATCAATGAACTATGACTCAATTACTTTACATATTACATCATATTGTACGAGATGAGCTGAAAGAGCCTAGGTGAATGATAGTTATAGAAGGGATGTAGCAAGAACAAATTCACCATCTTGAGCGATACATTTTCGATACTATATATATATATATATATATATATATATACCATAAAGTGTGTATTTTTTTTTATTTTATATTACAATTTCATTAATATAATGTATTATGAAAATTATTTTGTGTTTTAAGTGTACATTTGTCCATGTTCTTCTATGTGAGATTTAAATGAGACCTTAAATGCAACCTGCAATATATGTAGCTGACCTCATACTATTTCATTTATGATTTATAATAACTTCTCTACTCATCACTCTTTATTATTGTCATGTCCGGACTAGCTTACGTGTAGAGTATCTGCTATCTCCCACTAACAAAATGTACGTAATCGTTACTCTTGTATCACTAGGCATCCATTAAGCTCCTTAACCTTGACGTCTAAACCAACTTGACTAATACCATGAGATATATGTTTCCTCCCACGAACACATATACTCTTCTCTTGTATCACTAGGGATCGATTTAACCAGTGGTGTCTGGGACCAGTTTGAGCGCACCTCAACTAATGCCAAGAAATATCTGTTACCTCCCACCAACACAAGTACGCCCTGGTTTACTCTTCATATACAACTCTTCTCTTGTTTCACTTTGCACCAACTATACACACCTTGATTAATTCAACGTGATATCTACTACCTCCCACCGAAACACGTATGTCCTCTTTACTCTTTATATACAACTCTTCTCTTGTATCAGTATACATCTCTCTTTTCTCTCATTTAGTTCCCTTGAGAGCAAATAAAGATGGAGAAGCAAAGAAGCAAACAGACTTCTCTAATCCTGTGGGCTACAATTGCTTCATTACTCATCATGCAGAATTTGGTCACTCCTGTCATTTCTTGCAGAACTCCTCCAAAAAGTCTTATATTTCATTCACTCTTTTTGTTAGTTTTAATTTATTACTTACTATTTTCGACTTCTTGAATCAAATTCTTTATTTTTTTATTTTTATGACAGATTCGCGAACACCTCCATCACATGGCGGCTCAGGAAGTGGTGGCTCTCGAAATACACCTTCACATGGAAGCAAAAGCCATGGCGGAAAATCACATTCTGGCTGTGATAATCCGCCAAGTGGAGGGGGTAGCGGACATACTCCAACCCTAGCTCCTCCTTCGGGAGGAACCGGAGGTGGTTACTCTCCGCCATCCCCTCCAAGTACCCCCTCCACACCGGATATCTCCGTACCATCACCTCCATTTGACCCTAATTCACCACCTTCTGGAGGGGGCGGATACTATCCCTCCCCTCCAACTGATAGTGGGACCCCACCAACTACGCCTATCATAAGCCCTGACACTCCTTCAACTCCATTTGACCCTAATTCACCACCTTCTGGAGGGGGCGGATACTATCCATCCCCTCCAACTGATAGTGGGACCCCACCAACTACGCCTATCATAAGCCCTGACACTCCTTCAACTCCATTTGACCCCAATTCACCACCTTCTGGAGGGGGTGGGTACTATCCATCCCCTCCAACTTATGATACCCCTACCACACCAACGACTCCTATCATCGGCCCTGACACTCCAAGCATTCCCGATATATTCACTCCTTCAACTCCATTTGACCCCAATTCACCACCTTCGGGCGGGTACTATCTCTCCCCTCCAACTTTCCCTACACCTAGTACCCCCGGTATACCCACATTTTTCCCACCAACTACTCCTATCATCAACCCGGGCATCCCAGGCACCCCCGGTATCTACATACCTCCACCTCTATTCGATCCTAACTCACCACCTTTCTCAATCGAGTAAGTAAATCACATTACACAACTCCCTTCAGGTACATTCGATAACATATTAACACGAACCATGAATTTTTTTGTAGTTACTGGAGGACTAACCCGGCTTTAATATGGGCCTTGTGTGGCTGGTGGGCAACTATTGGTAGTGCATTTGGTGTAGCTCCTGCTCCGGGGCTCGGATCAAACTTCAACCTCCTACAAGCACTTACAAACACTCGTTCCGATGGTGTTGGTGAACTCTACAGGGAAGGCACAGCTTCTTTACTGAACTCAATGGTGAACAAGAAGTTTCCTTATACTACAAAACAAGTTAGGGAAAATTTTGTTGCAGCACTTAGTTCAAACAAGGCTGCTGCAGCTCAGGCAGCGCGATTTAAGTTAGCAAACGAGGGTAGATTCAAGCGTAGAGCTTGAAATGAAGGCTCGTATCAATAATTCTGATTCTACGTATGGACATTTTCTCATCACTACTTCGTTCATTCGCAATAGTAAATGTATGCAACTAAGGTATCCTAACAGATCAGTAGAGCTTGAACTTTGGTTCATGTTTCAAAAATCACCTTAAAAATCTTGCAAGTATGTTAAGTTTCATTATGATTTCTTGTGAGTTTTAGTTTAAAGGTTGATTTTAGTATAATG